AGAGTATGATTTAATAAAACTTATCAAGTTCCCATTAAGATAGTCAGCTTACTTTATGTAGACAGAACTCTTGGATTTATGTCCTAGTTCATCCTAATGAAGGTTTATCCATTTAAAAAGTCATTTTTCCAATCCATATGATCTAATGATATGGCTTCTCAATTCACTTTCAGACAGGAAACCTGATAATTCATGGAGCAGCTCCTAGATATGATGATTGTATATTATCTCATCTATTAGAGGAATTATATTTCCAGTTAACAGATGGTAGGGAACATAAGTGCATGGCAGGGGTTAATGTTATATTGATGTTCTCCATGTGGGTTGGGCATGTTGTGAGCTGAATGCCAGTCTAGATAGTCTTTTATCAGATCCAGTATAGTTCTTCCTATGTTCTTAGGTGACCATCCAATCTCTGATTGAAAATATCAGAGGAATGAGAGTCTGCCATCTTATGACACTGTTCATCTGCTGAAAAGATTGTTCCCTTGAAATGTAGTTAAAGTGCCACTCTCATGAAAAGGTGCAAAAGAAAACAAGTTTGTTCCATTGTCTTTGACAGTGATTCCTAAAATTTAGTGCTCCAGGTATTTTGGGCTTTAGCTCCCAGAATCACTAACCATTAAGCCAGGAAGGCTGGGGTTCCTACAAGCAATTTGTTTATCGAATCATAAGAAAATTGAGGGTACAGTTGTATTTATAAACACAAACCAAGTTAAAAACTTGGCATTATTCTAAATGTCCTTCGATCGGTAGCTGGCCATGGAGTGCATCTGGTATTGCTGTAAGAAGGTCCTCCATTGAGCATGTGACAGGGCTCAGACTGCATTGTAGTAGGTGGTCTGTGGTTTGTTCTTCTCCACACTCACATGTCATGGACTCCACTTTGAGCGCAGTCTGTTCAGTGCCTTCCAAGTCACCCATCCTTCTTTGTGCCCAGGAGGGTGTCTCTCATCAGCCACCGATTGAGGTTCTGGGTTTAAGCCTACCACTTTTGGACTTTTGCTTGCTGAGGTGTTCCTGTGAGTACCTCTGTAGATCTTAGAAAGCTATTTCTTGATTTAAGGCATTGGTGTGCTGGCTGATATCCAAACAGAGGATGGGCTGGAGTGTCCATGCCTTAGTCCTTTCATTATTGGCTGGTACTTCCCATCAGGTGGTGCAATACCACCTAAAGAGTATAATTTCTCCAGTGGTGTGGTGCATATACATCCTGTGACAATACAGCATGTCTCATTAAGAGCCACATCCACTGTTTTAATGTGATTAAATGTGTTCCACACTGGGAATACGTATTCATCATTGTGCCTCTTAAATGTCTTTTCTCTAAGCTAAATATGGCCAGTAATTCAAGCTTTCCTCATAGGCTGGAGATAAACAATTTTAACAAGGGAGCAATCTTTGCCTCCATTTGAATCTCCAGGAGTGATAACTGACCAATGTTTGGTTCTTTTCCTCAAATGTGGGAATGCGGAACATTTGGAGGGTGTCTCCTTACCCATTATGGTCCATGGTCCATAGTCCAAAGGAGTGGTTGCCTCTAGACTGTTATCTCTCCTATTTGTTTCTCTGGTAAGCTTCAGTAAAAAGGTTAATATTTCCCTGTGTCCCAGTAGTGGAGCAGACAGGAATTATAGGTGATGTTTCCTAAATATCTTCCACCCTCACATATGTATAAATATCTGCTTCCTGGGCCTACTCTACAGGAATTTAATGCATTCACAAAAGTTTATACCAAATGAGACTTGCAGGTTTTTAAGGTTTTTTTTTTTTGTCATGTCAGGAGCGACTTGAGAAACTGCAAGTCACTTCTGGTGTGAGAGAACTGGCCATCTGCAAGGATGTTGGCCAGGGGATGCCTGGATGATTTGATGTTTTTATCATCCTTAAGGGAGGCTTCTCTCATGTCCCCGCATGAGGAGCTGGAGCTGATAGAGGGAACTCATCCGCCTCTCCCCGGATTCGAACCTGCGACCTGTCGGTCTTCAGTCCTGCCAGCACAGGGGTTTAACCCACTGCGCCACCGGGGGCTGGTTTTTAAGGTGCTGTGTGGTCGTTTGGTTGTTTTATCTGCAAGACACTAACCCAGCTCCTCTACTGGGAATGAATAAAAAGCCTGAGTCTTTATGGCTACAGGGGTGTAAGACAAAGACAAAGAAAAATAAAGAATATACTTTGAAGGAAATAGTAAAGAATCTTCTGGCATTATGAAGACTATCAGAATGTATAGGACACAAGATTTGAGAGGTTAGAGATCACTCAAGCTGATACATACTTTCCACCCTTATCCCCCCCCCCCAGCTGAAACTGTGAGGTCAAACATACATTTATTAGTTATATTTATGTCCTGCCCCCCCCCCCAAAGTGTTTGATTAACTTTATCCACACAACAACCTGTAAGGCAGATCGGCCTAAAAGAATGAATGTCTAGCTCAATATGACCCTGTAAGATTCACAGCCTAGTGATACCAACATTTTCCACATCTCTTGTCTAACACTCTGTCCATTACACCATGTTGACCCTGAACAACTCAGAGGACTCAGGATTTCCTATAAATAATTCAACTGCTATTTCTATAGAAATCTGCAGAAAAGCTGAGTGTGTTGCACTGACTGCCAAAATCCAGCTGCAGACCAAGCATTTAAAGAAAAAAAAAACAGCCTGTGAATAACTACTGCACCACACTGGTTTTGATGTCAATAACAGGAAAAGAGTTACCAAATCACAGAGTGATATTGGGTCAGAATGTGTGTGCCTTGAGAACATTGAGAGCAAGGTTTTGTGGTTTGAGCATTGGTTGATGACTACGGCCCCTTCTACACAGCTGAATAAAATCACAGATTATCTGCTTTGAACTGAATTATATGGCAGTGTGGACTCGAATATCCCAGTTCAAAGCAGATAGTATAGGATTTTCTGCCTTGATATTCTGGTTTATATGGCTGTGTGAAACGGCCCTACAGGGTTCAAATCCCCACTTGGCCATAGAAACCTACAAGTTGACCTTTGGCAAGTTACACTCTCTCGACCTCAGAGGGAGGCAAAGGGGAATATCATCTGAACAAATATTTCCCCAAACTCCCAGGGCAGTGCCGTCTTAGGGACTCCAAAGTTGGAAATGACTTGAAGGCATACAACAACAAGCATCATGAATTCTGCTCCCCATAAGACAGGAGAAGAATTCAAAACTATCATAACAGATAAGTTCAATAACAAAATTAAGTTCAACAGAGACAAATGCAAGATACTCCACTTAGACAGAAAAAGTGAAATACAAAGATACAGAATGGAGGACACCTGGCTTGACAGCAGTACGTGTGAAAAAGATCTTGGAGTCCTCATGGACAACAAGTTAAACATGAGCCAACAATGTCATGCAATGGCAAAAAAAAGCCAATAGGATTTTGGCCTGCATAAATAGCATAGTGTCTAGATCCAGGGAAGTCAAAGTGTTCCTCTATTCTGCTTTGGTCTAACCACACCTGGAATCACACTGTGTCCAATTCTGGGCACCAGAATTGAAGGGAGATGTTTACAAGCTGGAATATGTCCAGAGGAGGGTGACTAAAATGATCAAGGGTCTGGAGAAGAGAAGACTGAGAGGAGACATGATGGTCATATATAAAGATGTGAAGGGAAGTCATAGGGAGGAGGGAGCAAACTTGTTTTCTGCTTCTCTGGAGACTAGGAATAAGGGCTTCAAACTGCAGGAACAGAGATTCCACCTGAACATCAGGAAGAACTTCCTAATGGTGAGAGCTGTTCAGCAGTGGAACTCCCTGCCCCAGGGTATAGTAGAGGCTCCTTCTTTGGAGGCTTTTAAATAAAGGCTGAATGGCCATCTGTCGGGGGTGCTTTGAATGTGATTTTCCTGCTCCTTGGCAGAATTTGGTTGGACTGGATGGCCCACGAGGTCTCTTCAACTCTATGATTCTATGAAGATATTGGCCTAAATGATTTTTTCTTTCAGTCTGCTAATTTCCAGCACTGAGGTAACTTAAAACTGTAGATGGGCTTTTCGTATCATAATTCAGCCTTAGTAAGCAAAGTTACCAGAAGAAGGCAAATAAAGGAGATAGAAGAATTCTAGATGTGGTCAGTTTTTAGTGTCAAAATTTTGGGTAAACTAAAGGAAACATTGGGTGGAGGAGGGAACAATGCCTTCATTGTGCCTCTCTCTCTCCCATTCTCGCTCTCCTCTCAGGTAGATTTCAGAGTAATGAGGATCAAGAGAGTAAAGTAAGGCTTGAGGCGGCCGTCCTGCACACTCATCTTTGGCACCGAATGCACCTGACACTGCTTATTGCTGAGTAGTCACGAGAGACTCCTGTTGCCAACGGGGTCACAGGAAGCCAACTAAGGTTGCTTCCAATCAAGTTCCTCTGCTAAGTTAATTCCATAGGAAATGGTGCCTCCAAAGCCTCCTCTTCAAGTTAGGCCATCATAGCACAAAGTTCAAAAACACCCCCCATTGCAAAGCAGCAAACCCTCTTTCAAAACTAATGCATGCGTGTTGTGTGTGTGTGAAATTTATGCTTAGTTAGGAGTAAAAATATGTGTTAAGAGATAGAACTATAGTTATTTCGTTGTTCGGGTATGTTCTGTTTGTGTTTGTATAGGCATTGGTTTTTTATTTGTATCTCTTCTTGTAAAGAGTTAAATTAAAAATAAACAAAGATAGGAAAGGCTCCCTATCACAAAGTAGGAATTAATTTGTGGGTGTTTTGGGGGGATTTGGAGATTGACAAATGGGCGACTGCAATTCATGCAAGCCCTGAACCTCACGTCACCAAAGCACACAACCCCATATTAAATAATTTGGCTGTGTTTGGGATGAATGTCCACACTATGAGGTTGGATTCCTCCCCTCCTTGGACCAAACCTTCTCAAGGTGACTGGTCGTCTTTGAAGGAGAACCAGGCATGATGCCCATCCGGCTCGGTGCCGCACAACCCCCGGTCGAAAGAGGAAGGGGAGGGGGAGTTGTAAAGGTATTTACCTGTAGTGCTGCCGGCATCGGAGCAACCCAAGGCGGCGAGGAGGAGGAGGAGGAGGATGAGCCGCAGGTCGCTCATGGTCGCTGCAGGGACGGGGCTGCAAATGATGAAGGGTGGCACCTGGCTCTGCAGCGCCTCTAGTGGCCACTCGCGGAACAGACCCGGGCTTCTCTGCCTGGCTCTCTCTCTCTCTCTCTCGCTCTCTCTGAAAGGCCGCTCTGCTGGGACGCCAGGCTCATCGCTGGGATCCTGACGTCAGCAGCCTCCGCCAGCCAATCGCCTGCCTTTGCTCCCGCTGCTTCGCATCTACACTGCAGAATGAATCCAGTTTGAGCCCACTGTGCTATGGAAATGTAGGAGCTGTCCTTTGTGGAGGCACCAGCACACGGTGGGGGAGAAGTCTACAGTCTTGTGATTTCATAGCATTGAGCCATGGCAGTTCAAGTGGTGTCAATTCACTTTAGGTCAGACCTGGGCAAACTTTTGCCCTCCAGGTGTTTTGGGCTTCAACTCCCACAATTCCTAAAGTCTACCAACCCCCGGTGGCACAGTGGGTTAAAGCACTGAGCTGCTGAGCTTGTTGACCTAAAGGTCGCAGGTTCGATTCCACTGTCAGCCCTAGCTTCTGCCAACCTAGCAGTTCAAAAACATGCAAATGTTAGTAGATCAATAGGTACCGCTCCGGCGTGAAGGTAATGGCACTCCATGCAGTCATGCTGGCCACATGACCTTGGAGGTGTCTATGGACAACGCCGACTCTTTGGTTTAGAAATGGAGATGAGTACCACATCCCAGAGTCAGACATGACTGGACTTTTTTTTTTTGTTGTGTCAGGAGTGACTCCTGGTGTGAGAGAATTGGCCGTCTGCAAGGACGTTGCCCAGGGGACGCCAGGATGATTTGATGTTTTTATCATCCTTGTGGGAGGCTTCTCTCATGTCCCCACATGAGGAGCTGGAGCTGATAGAGGGAGCTCATCCGTCTCTCCCCGGATTCGTACCTGCGACCTGTTGGTCTTCAGTTCTGCCAGCACAGGGCTTTAATCCACTGCGCCAACGGGGGCTCCAATGACTGGATTTAATGTCAGGGGACAACCTTTACCTTTACCTACTGGCTGTTAGGAATTGTGGGAGTTGAAGTCCAAGACACCTGGAGGGCCAAAATTTGCCCATGCCTGCACAAGCATTTGGTGTAGCCAAGGCATGGGAAAACTTGGGCCCTCCAAAAGTTTTGGGCTTCAACTCCCATAATTCCTAAAGTCTACCGGCTGTTAGGAATTGTGGGAGTTGAAGTCCAAGACACCTGGAAAGCTAAAGTTTGCTCATGCCTGCTTTAGGCCATTGGATGGGCAAGCGTTTGGTATAGCCCAGGCATGGGAAAACTTCTGCCCTTAAGTGGCTGAGGTGAAAAAGGAAAGGGCCTGAGGCTGTTAGGAATTGTGGGAGTTAAAGTCCAAAACACCTGGAGGGCTGAAGTTTGATGGATGAAAGCGAGGAGGAGCTGAGGAACCTTCTAACAAAAGTGAAAGAAGAAAGTGCAAAAGCTGGGTTGCAGTTAAACATAAAAAAACCAATATTGTGGCAACCAGACTGTTTGCTAACTGGCAAATAGTGGGAGAAAACGTGGAGACAGTGACAGACTTTGTATTTCTAGGTGCGAATATTACTGCAGACACAGATTGCAGCCAGGAAATCTTAAGACGTTACATCTGGGGAGGAGAGCAATGACCAGTCTTGATAAAATAGTGAAGAGTAGAGACATCACACTGGCAATAAAGATCCACATAGTTAAAGCAATAGTATTCCTCATAGTAACCTATGGATGTGAGAGCTGGACCATAAGGAAGGCTGAGCAAAGGAAGATAGATACTTTGGGGGGAAATTCTGAGAGTGCCTTGGACTGCAAGAAGCTCCAACCAGTCCATCCTCCAGGAAATAAAGCCCGACTGCTCACTGGAGGGAAGGATTTTAGAGGCAAAAATGAAGTACTTTGGCCACATAATGAGAAGACAGGAAAGCTTAGAGAAGACAATGATGCTGGGGAAAATTGAAGTAAAAAGGAAGAGGGGCCAACCAAGGGCAAGATGGACAGAATACCTTGAAATGACTGGCTAGACTTTGAAGGAGCTGGTGGTAGTGACAGCTGGCAGGGAGCTCTGGCATGGGCTGGTCCATGAGGTCACAAAGAGTTGGAAGTGACTGAACAAATAAACAGCAAACAACAAGTTTGCCTATGCCTGGTTTAACCACAGCTCTAAGGAATAAAGTTTGCAAATGTAACTTTTTGAACTAAAATTCTCAGAATGTCCTCTTGTAGATGACCTCCCTTCATGCCAGTTACAGGATTCTGGGGTTTTTCTAGGAAAGATGAGTGTTTCCAAATCAACCTTTGTCATTACGCCAGTAAGTAATGTTTATAAGTTAATTTGAAATTGTGCAAAGAAATGCTTCTTTCCTTTGTAATAAGGCAACCTTATGTTATGACAAAAGGAAGGGAAAATTAATGACAGTGATAGTTCTTCAAAGGATCTTTCCACATCTTATTCATCCTTTATCATTTCCTGTCTGGCACTGGCCAACCATCTTTTCCTCGAACACAGAAATCCCCAATCCTTTAACCTTTCCATGTATTATGCCTCCTCTGCTTTAGTGGACTTACCAGCTTTGTGACCTTCAATGGCATCTTCTGGCTTCTGTCTCACTGTGGCAATGTGTCCACTCTGGGTTTGAATCTAAACATTAAAGGAACTATCTAAGGTGCTGAACCTATTTCAGTAATCAAATCAGCATCTTTAAAATTCAGGTGAAAATGTGGAGCACATTCTCTGACCCACTAACATGGAAGCTACCAGTCACCATAGGTCAGGCATGGGAAAACTTCAATATCAGTGTTGTATGGCCAGCTGAGGACCTTGCTGTTAAACTATGCATTTTCCTATTTTTTGTTTTTGTTTTAATTGATTATATTGCTGCTATTGAGCTACTGATTCTGCTACTGAATGACCTTTTTATTGTAAACTAGCCTGGGTCCTCAGTGATGCTCAGGTTGCTCGAAAAAGGCATTGTTTGTTTTTGGATGTTAGACAATTTTGGGTAGGTAATTTTAATGCTATTTATTAGAAAAAAAGTCAGTCTTTACTTTTGTTTTTATATGCATTCTTCCAATAGAAAATACATAAGGATGTGAGTGAACTGCAATTCTCAGAACCATGGGTTAATTCTCCCCAAACACTGCCACTATTCAAAGTAGGCCATGTGGGGTCTGTGTGCCAATTTTGGTCCAAATCCATGGTTGGTTGGTTTCGGTGCTCTCTGGAGGTGGGTGAACTACAGCTCCCAGAATGCAAGGTCAACTTACCCCCCCCTCAAAAAAATAACCCCTGCAGTATATTCAGTTGGTCACGGGGGTCCATATTTGGTCCCCAAAGTTTGGTCCCGGTCCATCATTGGTGGGGGTTGCAGTGGTATCTGGAAGTGGATGAAGGTCTGCAAATCTTATCGTCCATGGTCCATTGTCCCCCAATCCTCACCAGGATGTAAAGTGGTTGATGGGGGGGGGGGTCTGTGTCCCAGATTTGGTGCAGATCCATGTCTGATTGGCTTAGCAGTAGTCTCTGGAAGTGGGTGAAGGGACTGCAAATCCCATTGTCCATGGTCCATCCAAACCTCACTAATATGTAAAGCGGCTCATGGGGAGGGGGTATGTGCCCCAAGTTTGTCCAGGTCCATCATTTGTGGGGGTTACAGTGGTCTGTTGTAGTGGGTGAAGGAATTGCAAATCCCATCATTTACGGTGCATCCTTCCCAAATCTCACCAGGACATAAAGTGGGTCATGGGGGGGGGGGGGGTCCTGTGTCCCAAGATTGGTCCAGGTCCATCATTGGTCCAAGATTGGTCCAGGTCCATGTGAGAGCTATTCAGCAGTGGAGCTCTCTGCCTCTGAGTGTGATGGAGGCTCCTTCTTTGAAGGCTTTTAAACAGAGGCTGTATGGCCATCTGTCAGAGCTGCTTTGAATGTGAATTTCCTGCTTCTTGGCAGGGGGTTGGACTGGATGGCCCACAAGATCTCTTCCAACTCTATGATTTTTTATTCTAAGTTAAAAAGACTGCCTTGTCTGAATTGGTTAAGGCTGCTTGATGCCGATTCCTTTGAGATGTAGATTGCTAATTAACAGCCCAGATGCAGATGTGGTTGTGGTTGATTTTCCATCAATGGAAGCTAATGATGTGGTGATAGTCTCCTTAAAAGCTAAGCAATGGCATGCCTATGACAGTTTACCAATGAGACACCCAGCAGAGCTTGGAGGAAGTAACTCCCTGTCTACTGAGAGGAAGCAGCAGATGTGTGAACAACAAAGAAAGGGGAAGGATGAGGCAAAGGAAGTTCTGATAAGATGTAACTCCAAGAGGAGCCTCTTTGAGCTCCTCTTGCACAAATTCACTTTTTACCCCTATCTCATCCAGGGTTTTATCATTTTATCTTGTGCATTTGGCCCACCCACTGTGTTCTACTTTTATTATGTTATTTTGCACTGTTTATCTTATTTTGTTAATTCATGCATTCTTTTGTGATGTAATTGTTGTTGTTTTTGTATTTCATTTTGCTGTGTTGTATCTTTGGGCTTGGCCTCATGTTAACCACTTTGAGTCCCCTTTGGGGAGATGGTGGCGGGGTATAAATTATTATTATTATTATTATTATTATTATTATTATTATTATCAATATAGCTGAAACTAGGTTTTGAGATCACATTGAAGGGTGCTTCTACACTATAGAATTAACACAATTTGACACCACTGCAACAGCTGTGGCTCAATGCTATGGAATCACAGGAGTTGTAGTTTGGTGAGGCAACCAGCACTATTTGGCAAAGAAGGTAAAGACCTTAGAAAATGACAACACCCATGATTCCATAGCATTGAGCCATCACAGTTCAAGTGGTATCAAACTGCATTAATTTTACAGTGTAGATGCACTCTTAGACTACTGTTCCCATTGCTGGGGGAGTTGGGGAGCTGGAGACACAAAACTGCATTGCTAAGATCTAGCTAAAACTAGGACAGAGCCTTGGGGAACTGTCTAAGATATTCTGAGGAATCTTTTGCTTTGTACAAGGTTCTTCTTGTCTCTGCTCTGTTTGTATATTTGCAGTAAGCCATATATTAGGACAGTTTAATTGTGTAGTTCTGGTGCTCCACATT